ACACAGTAGTTAAGATTATGTATTTCTCTACACATAGTATTCTTCTAAGTTACAATTTTTAACAAATTTTATCAAATTTTCTACCCAGCCAGGCACTTCAGGCAGAACTTGGGGAAGTTCTAATAATCGTAGAAAATATTGCCAAAAGGGGTCTTGGTGAAATATGCATTCAGTGTAGGGTTTAATTTCCTTGCAAAGGCTTGTCATGTCTGCGATATGTGACACCTCAAAATTAATTTTCTACTTGTCATTCTCCATCATATGTTTGTGCAGTGGGTTATTCCTGTCCATGTGTGGCACTGCCTGCATTCCTACACTGAAATGCATCTTTTTAAGAACATTTCTCATTTTGTTGTTCTATGAGCTAATCTCTAATTATAATCCTACCCTCCAAAGTTGCCACCTGTAAATTTAACCATCATCCAAACAAATAATTGGGACCTATTTACTAATTCAGAGCCAGAATAGGCCTGAGAGGTCCTTCTGATAGAAATAATGCCCTGCCTCTGTTTCTATTTTTGGAAATTCTCTTTATAGGCATATTCAGTTTCTCCTTTCTCCCAAAATCTTTTTTGCTCTCCTCTTGGTACGCATACTGGATGCCTCCTATCTCATCTGGAATAGATCCTGGCACTGCCCAAAAGTATAGATTTTTCCCGTGAAGTCCTTGAATTTTTCAAGTTTTTCTTATTATTCCGTTCTACAGTCTTCCTTTCAGAGATTCATAAGCTCATCATTTCCTAAAATGATGGGAGAAATTAGATCGGATAGGAGCTTTTTATTTATTCAATACCTCTCCCATTTTCAAAGCAAGGCTGACTTCAAAGTTAGACCAGACTGGTTGGGGTCTCGCTCCATCGAGTTCTGAGACTCTCCAAGGCTTCCACAGCCTCCCTGGATGACCTGTTCCAGTGCTTAACCATGCTTGTGGTGAGAAGCATTCTTCCTTAAGTAAAAGAGAATAAATATTACCTTATTGCAACCTGTGCTTTCATTGTGTGCCTCTTGGAAAAGCCTGGCTCTACCTTCCCCTGTAGCTGTTGTGAGACTGCTGTTGGATTTCCACCTGCCTTGCTTTCTTGTCTCCATTTAACACCCCTCTTCCCATAACCTGTCCAGTGTTCCAGCCCTCTTACTATCACTGCTCTCTGCAGTGATTATTGTTGCTAAACTCTCACCTTATCTTTGTTTCTAATCTAAAGGGTTAACTTGACTGAGAATATAAAGTGAAATGATCCTCCTGCCCTTTACTTTTTACTGTTTCGTAAAGATGTTTTCCTCCTCTCATCCTGCATTTTTTCACCTGATGTAGAGTTGGTATTTTAGATAAAAATGAGCTCTGAGAGTTCCTGTTTGCAGTACTTATTTGTTTGGAGACTTCATTGCATTTTGCTGCTTTTCATACTGACGATGTTATTTCCTTAAGAAAACTGAGCTTCATGGCACCCTTTCAGGATAGAGCACAGCTGTCTGATCTTATCCGGGCCTGACAGATGCCTACACTTCTCACCAAGCTCCATTCTGTTACTGAAAGAATTACCTGTTTCTGTAATCTCTGCATTTAAAAATGATCTGCATACATATGCTTGGAAAGTAGGGTTTATTTTAGTAATGTGAAGGAAAGACAATCAGATGTTAGAGAAAGATGCCATAGCAAGTAGAATTACTTTTATCACTTACTTGTTTCATCACCCATTTCAGTGTAACGTCTTATTTATATTGGTTTCTCCTTTGGAAGACCATATAGCAATTTCCAAATGTTTAATTAAAACCTCACAACACTACTGTGATGTGAATGCAGTAAATGAACGAGAGAAGATAAGGCTTTCCTAAAGCAACTTGTGTTTTAAGTGTTTTATTACATGAGCATTTTGTCTGTCACCAGAACAGGGGACAATTTCTTTGGTGCATCACAGTTTACTTGTACCAAGATGTCAAAACCTTTTAAGGAGCTAGATATCTGTAGGGTTATTTTGGAGAGGTTGTTTATTTTTTTTGTTGTTTTAACATAAATCATAACCCTCACCTGGTTTCAGAAGGGGTCCACAAAAAGTTCCAGTGACCCATTTACACAGCTGAGGGGTCAGGAATGAGAAGCTGGAAGAAGGACTGCCTTTATTTGGCCTTCTCCTGGGGAAAATGAATGCATATATCCATCCTGATTTTCCAGTAGGTGTAATTTAGGTACCCAGTTGTAGCACAGCAATTCATGAGGACAGTTCCTGGTTATCTAAATGATGATAAATATTTAAATAATCCTTAAAACAACAACAGCAGTTGCCCAGCTCATGCCCAGTTGCACCATAGTTCTTGCAGATCCAAGATATCAACTTCTCACCAGAGGCTGCCAGGGAGTGTCAGACCAGGCACCATAAACACCCCATATGCAGTCCTGGCAGGAAAATGAGGGAGGGTTATGATCATTAGAGCATTTGTAAGGATTAGAGTTGACCTGGACCTGAACCAGGATTCTTCTTGGCATCACAGAATATCCTCTGTGGTGGGCTACTGGTTACTCTTTATCTATGCCTTCTCTTTATCCTCCCTCTCCTGGGAAAGCCTGTATTCATTGCTGTACAACTTCAGAAATGGGATGAATCTTCAAGGTTTCTGAAACTCTGTATTATGTTGTAATAGCTAAAGGATATCACTTGAAATGAGACATCCAAATTTTGAAAAAGTTTTTGAAGAAATATGTTCACAGCAGCCAGTTCAGTTCTTCTTGCTATTAAGTAATGCCCTTTTCTTTCCCTTAAGCTTTCATAAAACTCTATGGTATTTTTTATCCCAGTAATAGTCTTCTCTTTCTCCCCCACATCCTCATGTTGATTCTTTGGAAACACTTTTCTTCAACCCTCAAAGGATTCCTGGAATAAGAGATCTCTCAGATCTTTCACCTTTGCAACATGCTGTTTATTTACCTAATTTTATAGAAACTTTCTCTCCACCTTGTATTACCCACTAGCTCTTACTATTAATCAAGACATTACTACTCTCTTTTCACAAGTGTTATTTAAACAGTGAGTTTATGTTTTATATATATTTTTTGGTGAGATTATCTCAATATAGGGATATAATATTGAGATATTATCTCAATATCTCAATATTTTCTGTGTTTTCAACAGGAAAACACAGAAACATGGCACTGACTGCTCATACTATGGGCTCCTTCACTCATGTACTGACTTGTTCACCCTGATGCTGGAAACTGTTGAACTTCATTGATAAATCAACCTCTTCCTTTCTTCTCCCTCCACTGTTCCTCCATCCTTTCCTTTCATCCAGCTCCCCCTGTATTTGGCACTTAGGATGTTGTGCAGGCCCTGAGCAGAGGAACTCAACTTGTTCATTTTCCCAAGCTTTCCTTCTGTCCTGCCAATGCACACACGTAGTAGGTACATACACACACAAATATGCTGAAATCTTGTATAGAGAGATTTGAAGAAGGTAAAGAAAAAGATTAAATACATCTGTCTTAACTGAGAAGGCTATAGAAAAGAGCTACTACCTTCGTTTTTATAGTTTATTGTTCAAATTATTAACAAAAATACTGTTTCCTTTTGCAAATAAAAGCACATTTTGCAAACAAATACAGATTTTTGTAAAGAAGCAGATTTTCCATGAAAGGAAACTTCTGTTTTGTAGAACAAGAATTAAAATAGTAGCTAACATTTTGACTTACATTGCAATTAATTCATAAATAATCAAGAACTATGTTCAAATACTTCTTTAAACTTAAGCAGCAAAATCAAACAACACGATTTATTCATTTTGCTTGATGCTGTTTTCATACTGTGATGTAGCAGACTAAGTACAACGACTTATACAAAGTACTATGCTGGGAATATTTTACCAATCATTTAATAGGATCTGAGACCAAATGGTGTGTATCTCACTGTTTCTGCTTTATTCATGCATCATGTAAATCGAATAGCCAAGTGTTTACAGGAAAACAAAGATGGGATTGGCATCAGGCATTCCTCTGTTCACACATACAGAGCAGAATGCACTTACAAATGAGTCAAAACCCCAGTGTCTGCAGCAGCACCTCTAGAAAAACCCACATCATTCCAATGCCTCGCCACCACCTCAAAATTTTGACTTATGTATTTGTGCATGCCATGAATAACGCTGCTCCATGATTAAAAAAATAGAACTGGTAAGACACACAAACTCATACAGCAAAAATTCAATAAAGCACCTAATGATGATGAGCTCTTTACGTGTGTGATCTGAGCCCTCAATTCATCTGTGCCTCCAGAAATTAAATTCTTTTTCTCTCGGTTTATAGAAAACCCATTACAGAGTTACAGCTCAATCCTGTATCTTTTTTTTGCTCCTAGGGGTAGAGAAGTTTTACATTATAAATAAATTTCAGTGAAGTTCAGGATCTGTCCCCACTTGTCCCCATTTAAATATGTAGTGTTACATATATATAAAAGTTCCTCAGAGAAATCACTGTTAAAATTGTTTTGGATAGATATTGTCTGTCTATACCATGACTATTTGGGCCACAGTGCTTTGGGGTCTAATTACTGACGTGATCAATCAGTGTTACTAAATTGCTATATTATTGAAACCCTGAGAAAATATTCAAGCCCAGTTGAATTTAACAGTTTATCCTGAGTAAAGAGAGAAGAATTTAATGCTACACTGAGATACATCAAACAGGAGAGAAGGCCAAGTCGTAAAGGCTTGCTCCTGCTTTTGTCACTGAAAAGCATTTTGGATAAACCCTACACAAAACCAGAGAGGTAAAATCCCATTTGCAGTACAAACACCAAATTCCTGTAGGATTGTACAAATTATTCATGAGAGTTTCAAGTCATGAGTTTTCAGCTAACAGTGTGGTGCAAAAGTGGACCTCACTTTTTTTTTTTTTTTTATGCTCATTTCCATTAATAACTAAGTATACAGACATCCTATTAAATCCTAATATGATACATTTGCAAAGAAATACACAAAAATCTCTTAGAACTGTAATAAAATCACAACATTTGGAAAACCTGAAATGATTTTATTGTCTTACAAATTTCAAAACTCAGAGCATACTCAAAGCAGAATTTTCCCAAAATTGTTTGAAACTGCATTATGTTTTGTCATTTTAGAGTATCATACAGAATGATACAGCTCAATGAATAAATTAGTATTAACTGTATCTGTAAAGAGGTCAGATGCTTTGATTTAATGTGTTTATAACAGTGTAGGGCCTAACTGTAAGATCAGCTTTAATTACAGAGTAAATGCCTTTTTAAAAGATAAATTTTTTCAAATTAATAAAAAAAAAGTCAAGAAGACATCTTTGTGGAAATATATACCCACACCCACAGGCTAATACAACACCAAAATTAAAAAGCACTTTGTACAAAACTTGTAAAGAGTTCCAGCTTCATGAATCAATGCCAAAGCAAAACAAAGATCATAATCTGGCAGCAATTTAAAGTTCCCCATTAAAAACAAGATTAATGATAGAAACCTTCTAAAAACAAACAACTCTTCTCAATCCAGGAAAATACAGCATGTATTTTTTAATAACTGAATAGACTGATGTGATGTGACTTTGCTTCAGTATTTTTCTTTATTAGGATTCAAAGGAGAAGTTTATTCCAGGTTCTGTAGGTGCAGTAGAGTTTTCCTCATTGTGCCAAAGGAAAGGTGATCAGTGTGTTTTGGGGAGGGTAGAAGGAAAACTAAAACTCTGAAGTTGTATGAGCAATATACCAAGATCCTGCCCTTGCCAAGTTCTTCACAGCAAATGCCAGAATTTGCTTTGCACTTATGTAGGGGAAGAAGAGAAAGTTCTATACAGAAAATAAAGTGAACAACTTCAGCCCTCACTTTTGGCTAAAGCAAGGCTGGCCAGGAGCATTGAACAGATGGGATCAGGGGAAAAAAAGGGAGACAAGTATTCTTTGCAGCACTTCTGAGAGTGGTACAGTAACTAAGCTTTTAAAAAATAGAGAGTGCCTCCCAATGTGACAAGTTAAGATTAATTAAAGCCTAATTAAGCATATTATAAATAGCTATAAAAATATTCCAAAATTAAACTGTATATTTTTTTAAAATCCTGCATTACTGGGGTTTAAGATTCTAGCCTGCTGCTTCGCTGATGTCCAAAACTGAAAACACAACATGCTTATTTGCTATTTGGAGTTATTTCTGAATATAAATATACAAGTTAATAAACGGAGGGGAGGTAAATGACCTCAGTGATGTAGAGGCACAATTTGGGAATGACCTGCGTAATGGGTAAAAGCCCTTGGGAAACCCTCCCTACCCCGTGCTTGCCAGGCAGATTCAGGAATATCCCATGCTATTTAAAGGACTGGCACGACTCACACTGTTAATAAGAAAAGAGGATCGCTTACACTGCTCCACCTTCCCGTCCCGTCCTGGCTACGTCCCGTGCGGATGTGCTGCTGTGCCTGTGCACAGCCACCAGCAGTGCTTTCACTGGAAGTTTTCTGACTTTCTGTAAACACCTTAAAATAATCTTCCAGCATCACTGAGACCTCTCGGGCATGTCAGCTGTCAGTGTCAGGCCCCCTCCCGGGGAACTGGCGTGCAGCTGGAGGAGTGGGAGGCAGCGCTGCGTGCAGCCCAGGCTGGGCTGGAGGCGTAGGGCACAGCGTGTCCATGACAGCTTCCTCTGACAGGGCACACTGTGTGTTTGGAAGTTCAAGTTTCATCATGCGACACAGGTTTAGGAGACATCAGGATCAGGGCTTGGCTGCTTAGGTTTAACGTTTCTCGGGCTAAAATAGCTGCCGCACCAGGTGCAACCCTCCCAGCAGCGTTCAATTTAATTTTGCAAAAAAACCACCCTGAATAAATCTCTCACAATGTGAAACAAAGTGCATATAGGCTTGAAAAGTAACTCGTTTAGGACTGTGCTATTTAAATGTAAACATGCAGCATGAGTGTGACGACGTTACCCAGAGCAGTGGTACAGTCAGTGCAGGACTGGTGTGAGAACCTCGGCCGGTTCAGTGCCCGCTCACTGCTGGACCAGCTGGTGGTTTCTCTCCTTCTCGGTGCTGTACAAGGGATAAAAACACGGATTAGGATGCACCAAGGACGCCACTGATCCCTTTCGTTGTGTCAATCCCAAACTTGCAGGGGATACCCATAACCACCCTCTGCAAAACAGAGCTCCAAGAGGGGCGAAATCCCAAACTTGCAGGGCATACCGATAACTCTGCATGATGACAGAGCTCCAGGAGAGGCTGTCAGGAGCCAGCCCTTACCCGCTGCCGCTGCTCGCTGAGGCAGAAGGTGCAGATGGGCCTCGGCGTGGAGCTGCCCGGTGGCGAGCAGGGCTGCGGGGACTCCCGGGGCTGCGGGTTCTGCGGGCAGGGCTGCTCAGCGTCCACCCCCTCGTCGTGCCGGCGCTGCTGCAGTAGCAGCACGTTGGCCAGGTGCGAGATGTAGCTGGCCGCCAGGCGCAGCGTCTCCACCTTGGACAGGCGGCGGTCGGCGGGCCGGGTGGGGATGAGCCTGCGGAGGGCGCCGAAGGCCGAGTTGACGCTGTGTGTGCGGTGCCGCTCCCGCGCGTTCGCCGCCGCCCTCCGCCCCCCGCCGCCGCCACCGCCCCGCGCCCGCCGCCGCCGCCCGCAG